TTTCCGTATTATTTGTTCATCAAACTTATAATTTTGTAACTTATCTGGTATATTTTTGCACAAGTTTTGCAACAGATCTTGTTAGTAATATGTTAGATTTAGGAAACACGTTAATAATTATTTCTATGGCCTAGTTATTCTTCTATTGTCTTTGTCATGTACTCCCTCCGTTAAAAAATGTAAAACATTTTTAACCACATCTCATCCCTCAATAGGGACATTGAGACCCTATAATAAATATAAAGTCATTATCAATAGGGCATTTTTGAAAAAAAATACAAATATTACCTCTCGAAAGATTAAAAATATCTTATATTTTTAAACATCTAACTTCTCAAAAAATGTTTTATATTTTTAAATGAAGTGAGTATATAATAGCCTGCCCTCACATGATAAAAAAGAAAAAAAGACAAAAAGCACTAATGGAATTTACAATAGTAGTTAATAAGGTGCAAATTGACGTTGTGGGCTAGATGCAATGAAAGCGAGTTTAGTTGATTGTTGCAAACTCTTATAATTAATTGGCAATTATGACTGATAATAGCAAGCGATAAAATGAAGTATAATGACACGAGCATGTGCAGTTGCTAAAGTTTTGGAGCGGATGATTTGACTAGGATGAACATGGAGTGCTTCCCAAAATAAAATGTGTGACAGGCATGATGTTGATCTCTTGGACTTTAACATCAATGACTCCGTCCACCAGCCTGGGCGCGCCGATGTAAGATGTCCAATAAAGCAATACCATCTAATGAAAAAATTATGCGCCCAAAGATTAATGACTATTCTATATATCCAATAAATATGCACTTAATCATCTATCATCTTTCTCTTCCAGCTCTTTTAATTTTCCTCCTCCCAATTTCATCACTAGACGCAGAAAATAACAACTCCGACATGGCAATATAATCAATCATGTTAGCTTGAGAGAGGGGGAACTTAAGGCCGTTTTCTTTAATTATATTCCATCTACTTTGTTTTTGTCATTGGGTCACCCACTAATTAATTTCCCCAAAGTGATGGGTGGTTTTTCTTGTCATCTAGTTGTTATCCTTCTGGAAAAGGATATTGGGTTAAAGACAAGAGGCAATGATGTTTACGTACTAGATCTGCAATGTTTCTCCATCCATTTGCATCACAAGACATGTAATTAGTGAATCAATTAATTAAAAATTAAATAACCCACAACTTAAAATGATTTTTTTACAAGTTTAATTTGTCACATGTGGGTGGAGATGATGACGAAACTACTTGCGTTCAAGCGATTTGTTTAGAAAGCCACGCAGAAAGAGTGAGGATCCCTAAACCCCCCCCCGGAAAAAAAAAGTAATAATACAGAGAAAAAGGCAGAGAACTAAGGGCCAGACATATGACAATGACTGATAATATCAATAATGAGAACGTTAAATATCAGCATTTACTTGAAGAGGTTCATCCACTATATAATTTAACCTTGATCATTGAGGAGGGTCCCGTTAATCAGAGGTTTCTCTGGCCATGCTTTGATGGCGCTGGGCCCTGCAAATTTGCAGCTAATTAAGCTACACCTTCACGATCCTCTTCTCCAATAATTCTGTGGTTTTCATCAGATGTTATTATTTGTTGCTGCGCTGCGTCTCCAAGCTAAGTGGAGAAATTATTACGTTAACTTCAATCTTTTTTTTCACAATGCATGATTGAGTGGGGCCGGCTAAAACAAATGACTCAGGACAAAAAGTCCTCCTTCTTCGATCTCCTCTCTACTATTCAATTGACCAGCTATGGCTAAAAATTATATTCTGAATCCTATGGTAGTACTGCATCTGCGTAATGGTGAGTTGATATTATTTGGTATCCCAAAGTAGCTAATTAGTTCATTCACATTTTGGCGTTTTGTATGTTGCAGACTGGTGGATTTGATCTCTCGGCCGCGCAAACCCAGAGTAGTATAATACAATATGGATGAAAGAATGGGGTCAGGTGGGGCTCGAGCCACTGGTATAATAATGGAGGTTGATTCTTATTGCTTGAAGTACTATATATACTGGATGCTGGTTAATAAAACATAGGTGTTAATCATTTAATTAGTTAATTAATTACTCCCTAAAGTAGTCTTTATTTATATATATAAGGGGTTCTAGGTTTATGGAGGGGGGTTAACTTAATTAGCTAGCTAGCCGTCACCGAATATATTCCTATTGGGGTTGGTGTATCCTTAAGAAAGGGTTTAATTGTTTCTATATTCATCTCTTAGCTTGGATGGCATTAATTCTCATCATTGTATTGCCTTATCGTCTCTTGTTGTGGATAAATGTATATGTATAATATGTTCATTATATATTGTCCCGCGCGCTTGTTCATCTTGTTTATTACACCCATGAAATATTATAAATCATGTTTGGACCCCATATCATATATCATGGCCAACTTAAATGTGCTTATAAATGTTCATAATTTGCAGTGGCGCTTAATATCAAGTGAGGTAAGAGAAGCTGAAGTGGAAGTGCGTGAGATTGAGGGTTATCCAATAAGGAAATAAAAATGCTGTAAGAGTCATGTTTGTCCATTCGTCCTGTTAAATGTATCCATCCCAGGCAGGGCGACAGAGCTGTGAAACGTGTAGCGACCTGAAAACAGACATTTATCCCCCATACATAAAGTATAGGCAATTACAGAGGGAGGGGGGGAGACGCTCGTGTGATGCGATTTAATTTAATAATTTTAGGCAACAAACCTGGACAGTTATCTTCAGTACTGCCCCTCCATGCTTTTGCATTGCGATTTGCGAAGACATCTGGGAGTGGGACATTATATATCATTATAATTTCCTCCTCTCTAATTTGAACGTTAAATTTTACGCGTAGTTTCCACATTCCACCTGGATAGACTCCATCTATGCAAGCGTGTCATTGTAGACGACCAGGGTTGACCGGAGGAGACAGCTCATGTGCAAGCATATGATAGTGCACTAAGTACCTTTTTTTTTTCTTTGCCCTTTTCTTTTTCTCTTCTTTGAGTATTGAGGATTACACGCAGTTCCATCGATTTATATATTATTGCTCAATCATTAATTTCCTTACAAATGGCAAAGGCCACATTGTTAATAAGTCAAGCCCCCATCATGATTGTGTCCCGACTTGCAAAAGAGACATCCCACCTATTACAAGCTATTTGGAATATAAAATTATCCTATGATTTAAAAATGTGTCCAAAAAATAATATGCATATATATACCATGTATACATGAATAAAATGATTACAACAAAAAGGGTCATATTCTATTGTTAGAATTTGAAATTAAATTATATGGATGAGTGCAAACTAAATGATACAGTTGGCTTCGTATTCTATGATTGAACACACATATCGTATCATAATGAGTAATAATCAATATAATTGTCTTCGCACCAGGTCGCCACGGGCAATGAAAATAAGGAATGAAGTTTGTGAAGCTCATATTTTGAGACAATTAACAAGAAAAAAGCGTGTCCTTGGGTAAACAACTTTGCGAAGAAATATATGTGTTAATCATGATAAATATATGCCTCGTAACTGGGTAAGCATGATGATCACTATCGTCTTACTTTGATATATGGTTAATTTCCATAACGTGGGAATGCATATTCAAACCGATTATTATTGAGTTATGATGTTCATTTAAATAGTAAAAGTATAAAGGTGTGTTTGGTAAGCTGAGATCGGGTTTATAAATCAAGATGAAAGTGAAATTCTGACAATTGGATGCTTGGCTTTGGCAAGATGGAAATGATTTCTCAATGGAAGTAGCTTCCGCCAAAATGGATGAAACTAATTGGTTCCTAGCTCTCCTAGTACTCGAGGGAAGTGTATTTTTTCAGATAACTACACCATCAATTTATAATTTATTGACAAAGTTTGCCCGGTATCATACCATAACCTATTTTCTCCCTGTAACGTCGACAGCCAACCCTCCCAACAGGGTGGAGCCACATGTAGGTGAAGGTGGGCATATTTCATATGCCACTTGAAGAAATTACATGCTATAGATATAAGATGGATAAAGTGGCAAATTTAACCATATACTATTTTTTCATAAGCATCTGGTAGCCTAAACTGTCAGGTGGTATAAAATAAATCATCAACTTTAAAAGATAAAACATCTAGTACATCATCGTTAACTTTAGTCGATAGATGTTATGTGGAGTCTATAATGACACGTGACACTTCATGGGTATTCCATGTCAGTATGTGTAAATATGTAAATTTAGTCATAAATTATTTTTTAATAAACACTGAGTAGCTTATACTATAAAAAATAGACTATTTAATACATTTTCATTAATTTTGATCAAATACCATTTATTTTTAGACTTATGACACCCATAATATTTCAATCTCTCCAATTTTTTTGCCTAAATTAAGCTAGAATCAAGCTTCTACTTTAGTGATATCGTCATCGTGAATGTTTTCAAATAAGAACTTTTTGAACTTCTTCTTCTCGAGTTAAAATTGAGAATGAAAATAAAAAGATTAGAGGGATTGACGCGATGTGGGTTTCATAAGTCTGAAAATAAACAATATTTGGCCATTTGATAGAAATATGTTGGATGATTTGTTTTTTATAGTATAGGCTAACTAGTGCTTCTTAAAAAATAATTTATAGCTAAATTTATACTTTTACACATGCTAATACGGAGTGTCACATGTCATTGTCAGCTCCACATAATGTTCGTTAACTGAAGTTAATGGTGAGTTTTTGAATACTCTGTTTTTTTAAAAATTGATGATTTATTTCTCATCACCTGATAGTTTGGGTTACAAAATGCTCTTGAAAAAATGGTATGTGACTAAATTTGCTACTTTGCCCTATTTTAAACTTTAAATTCATTTGAGTGCTAAATAACAATAAGTTAATTGTTCAATGATTCCCAAACATAAAAACATCATAGAAAAAAATATTTAAGTATGTAACTATTAAATTATTTTTAATATTTAAAATAAATTTGTCCCTGATCTGTGCCCTGGAGGCCAGGAGCGGCTACGCCACTGCCTCCCGGTAACTTCCAACGACAAGCATCGCTTCCTCGCTGACGGCAGCTTGCAATGATTTTCGTTCGCACGAAGGTTCTCCCAGATCTGTAGCACGATTGTTCTCCTAGCAAGATTTCTTGTCATCTTCGCACTTGGTGGCTACACTATATATGCTTTCCTAATTGCTCTTCGATCGATAGAAGGGGCAACGAAGTTTGGCTTTAGTTTCCATTTTACTCGTCTTCGATTTCTTCGTTCACTGATTGATGTTTGGCTTTAGTGACATCTTATACAGATCTCAGCCATTGCTGGCTACAAGAATGTATCTGGTCATCTTCAGCGTTTGACATTTGTAGGTCTCTGAGGATGATTCTATGGCGGCGGTTCAATGATGAGCCTCAGTATGAAGATTCGTGGATTTTCCGGCATTCCATTCCCGGGTCATTTTTCAAACGGTCATTTTTCCAACTTCAAACGATCGATTCTTCTTTTTATTATTTTTATTTTTTTATAAATATGATGATCAATTGGCAGCTATGTCATCTTTGATACCCTCAAGATATGAGGGATGGGATACATATGGTGGTAGTACCTGCGTCTTCATCTTTGTTTTTTTGGGTCAGCGTGTTCTTTGATTCATTTTGTTCTCGTGTACGTGAAATTGGTCCCGTTAATGCTTAGGGCTGTTGGTTTATCTTCTTCTTCGACAATAATGATTTTTCCGTTCTTGATGGTGGTTTTTGGAACATTCCTTGTCTGGATGGTGTTAGTAGCTGCTATTGACGTGTCGGGGGAGAGCTGTGTGATTGTGTTTTGACTGCCATGGGTTTGTGTTTTTCTTTTCCAATTTTACGGCTATCATTCTTGCCTTTTCAGAATATATCTAATAAAAATCAGTTCACCAATTTCATCAATATACTAAGCTCATTTTTAATGTTCACTCTCGTCAAGTTTTCACTTTCACTTTCTTATATAGAAAATCTCTTCACCGTCTCTGAGCAGAGCATGAGAAATTTTGAACGTGTGCAGCTAGACATATACATACAAGACATCTCCGAGTCTGGAAACCCAAACACTATGGAATGTACGCTAACATCAAAAAATTGGGATTTGGGGCAACGCAGGAACTTATATGCTACTCCTCTTTATAATATAAAACATTTTTTAAAAACCTTGTTTCGTACAAAACATAAATCAGTGGATTGAAGATTATATATATTTTCAGTTGTGCTCTTATTTTAATATGTTCTATTCAAGTAGTAATTAATGATAGTGTTTTGCATAAGTCAAATGTTACTTCATTGATCCGTTTCAATACTGTAAAATATTTTTAATTGTATTACATTCTTAATAAGTTAGTTACTTATTTTTAAAATTACATATTTTTTTTATATTCACCCCTATTAAAGATGCTGTCTTAATTAAAAAATTATATTAATTACACGTCTAATTAATAGTGTATTTGAAAAAATATCATTGATTGTACATTGAAATACTAAAATACCTTATATTTTTTAACACCTTATCTTAAAAAAATACCTTTTATTTTTTAACAAAGCTAGTATATTTATTCCATTTAAGGATATGATTGGAAATATGTGAATTTTTTGATAAAATTAATATTTTAACCAATTTTTTTAAAAAATGTAAATTGGTTAACAACATGTCGAGGTATATATAAATGACCACGAGGGATCCCAAATTTTAATTACACTGGGTCTGTTCCAGGCGCCAACTATATATAATTTTGTAGTGTCTTAATTATACAGATTACTTTTAACTACATTTCTTAATCCTGGTGAAGTACTTTCTCCAGTTCTTATTATAAATTAAAACACTTCTTGTAAGAGATTTGCAATATTTAATATAAGATACTTGGTGGATTTTTTTTAAATATTACACAATGTCTAAAATAATTAAGAATGTAATGCAAATTCAACATTTTTACTTAAATGTAAGTAAAATTAAAATTTTATTATTCTTTTCAAACAAAATTAATAATTTAACTACATATCCTTAATTCTAATGATATAGTTTAAAGATGCAAAATGAAAGAGATTAATCAAAAGTATCTCATGTTTTAGACTGGAGGACTACATATTAGGATTTAATATTATATTATAATATTCAATATTCGATTTAAGAATAAAGAAAGGATAATGCACGGCAAACTGATAGTGACCCAATAACCAATCCTTATCAGGTGGGTGTTAAGCACACACCGACACGCTGGGTGTTATCCAGAGCGCAGAACCTGATGGATTGGATAATTGGATCCGCTCCGGCTGCTATTGGGTAAATTTTGCAGGCAAACAATAACTGCCATGCTTAATCCCTTATATCATTATTATCAAACTTTTAAGTTTACTTTACAAATTTGTTAGTTTTACATTTTTAATTTACAAAATTATATTAACTCACTTATAAACTTAAATTAGATAAAACTCAATTAAACTTAATGAGTTACCATTTTTATATTTTTAAATTATAAAATCATTTCAATCTACTCATGAACTTATTAGATATGATAGGTATGTATTATGTAAAACTTGATTCATAAAAATGATAGAATCTGATTCAATAAAAAATAAAATTAAAAAAACTAATATTAATTAATACAAAAAGAAAATAAAAAACACTAAAAATAAATTGCCCTATTTGAAAATTTCTATGCTCAGTATGATAATTCATAAATGTAGATAGATTTAATTTCAATAATTTATATTTAAAATATATTTAAATTAAATTATGATCATATTTTATATTTTAATTATTTAATTATATATTTTTAAAAGTTATTTATTAATAGAAGTAAACTTTTTTAAGTTTATGATTCAAGTCTATATTTCAATTTATATCCTTGTAATGAGTTTAATTAAACTCACGAGTTCAACAACATTGTCTTATCCTATTTATAAGTTATTTTTAATATATTTTATTAAAATAAAAAAATTTTAAATCTCATTAGTTTATCTTAAAATTTAACAAGTTTTTATCTTTATTCTTAATAATATTCTTAAATCTCATTGCTAATATTTTTATTCAAAACATTTAATAATGAAAAAAATATAAAGAGAAGAATTGTAAATTGACAAATGCCCTCTATATAGAATTAAATTTTTTTTTATTTTATAAATAGGACCAAAGGAGTAGATATTATGAGTTCATAAGTGAAAATAAATTTCTTATATACTCCCCTCGTCCCTATATATAAGAGATTTTTTAAAATTTTTTTTACCCTTAAATATAAAATGTTATTAATATATTTTTTTAATAAATGGACTATTATATTCTTATTAAATTAAAAAAAAGATAAGTACTCTCATTAATTTATTTTAAAAAAAATATTCATTTTTATTTATAATAATTGGAAATAAAATTGAAATGTTATCTTGCTTTTAATTAAATAACAAACTTTTATTAATTCATGTGATTTGATTAAAAGATTTTTTGTATAAAAATGAAGGGAGTATACAATAGCCGATGTAAATAATAATTTGCCCACGAGCCACGATCATCTATCCAACTCCGAATAAATTCAGGCATCACTCAGCAGGATTTTATAAAATCATGTAGTTAGTGCGATCTCTTGCATAATAAAGTCTATGAATGCATTTTTAATACACCGGGCAAAATGGTAATAATTCAACTTTTGTGATTTTCCCTTCGAAAATTTTACTTCGAGTTTCGAGACTTCTTGAGCTTGATCTTAATCACTGATGATAATGATAGGTCAATACATACACCTTGTAACAACGATTTCACATCCAATGTTATGACTGGTTATTTAAATTCAATAATTGTGGGGTTGAAGTGAAAGTGGTTCACGTGTTAAGGAAAAAAAAACATGGCCACCTTAACTTGATTGATCCTTTTCATTCGAAGGGTCTGAATTTGAAACCCTAGTTAGAGGAAATTGAGTCAATATTTCTACTGACCCAATATGTCTATGATATTAATTGGTACAAAAATCCAAGTATTTGGGTTAACCTGTAACAGCGACACTCAAATTAACTTTCTTAAAATTATATAAACCCAAGTTTAATAATTTTATATTAAAAATACTAACATTTAAAAAATGCAAAAATTATTTTTTAATTCTAAATATATATTTTCATTCATGATCGTAAGACCATTGATAACGACTCAACATTTTAATAAATATAAAAAAAAAATCAGAGCATGACCGTGGTCTTTGGTTTCAATAAATCCGTGTGCATCTTAATAGAATGGAAGATATTCACAGGTTAAGATTTGTGAACTTGTTTTCTCGACGAGGAAACGTTTCGTGAATCGTACCCCACCAATGGATATTTCAGGTCATCGAAGGAATCTCGCAGAAAAAAAAAATATATATGTATATATATGTACACACACACACACATTCTAAATGAGGGTATTAAAATTTAAAAGTGGTTTGTTTGGCAAATTAGAAGAGAAAACGGAATGCTTGGAGATGGAACCAACGTAATATATACATATATATTCGCCAAACTTTGCTAATATATACATATTAATAACATTATAATTATGAATATTAACCTATACAATTATATACAGCAAATTATCAATGCTTATTTATACAGGACGATAGTATCAAATCCTTCCCATAAAAAGAGAGGTTGTCTTTTCAAACATGTCAAATGGTCACGCAGAGGTGAGTGCGCGGATGAAGGGCGTGTGCACCCCTTTTCTCTATCAAAAAAAAATAAAAAATGGATAAAATGGCGTAAAATAACAATATGCATATACTGTCAAGTTTAAATAATTCACCAATTTGATATTTTGATATTTTCAAATTTATTATGGTGACTTCGTAAGTTTCTCCAGTTGGACGCGGGCCACAGCATTTGATAGCTATACAATTATCATAAGATATTAGAAAATTACGACATCAAGTCACAATTTTTCAAGCCAAGAACAAGTTTGACTTACAGTTAGTTATATGCAGAAATTTTTCATGGATTTTTTTTTCTCTGGTTGAAAAATAATATTTTTATTTTTTTATTGTACACATCAATCACAGTAAATATTACTCTATAATATTTTATCCGTACTGATGTCTTTTTTTTTTTTTTTGGGTGATGAAATTCGTGCTGATTTGTGCGAGGCGCTGAGTGAGAGGGATGTGCCACAGTCTAATAAAAGCATCGATGATAACAATATAATAACATCAACAACTTGAACCGTCACGTACTCACGTCTCCTTTCTCTTTATCTTTCCATTTTTTCCATCACGTTCTTCACGTTGCCTCTTGACCATGAAAAAACTCAATTAATTTCAATACATTTTTTCATCTGGTAGTCATAAAACTAATTCCTTAAAAATTAAATATCATTTAAAAAGTTATCATTTTTTAAGTGATATTTTTTCACATATAGGTCACTAATTCCTCAAATGCATATGTTTTATTGTCAAGTTTTATCTGTTTAATTTTTTATCCAACAATTTTTTTACGCTATTTCATGTAAAGCTTTGATTTTCTTGCAATATTAAAGCGCAGCCGATACCATGATTAATTTGTTTTTACTTTCGTATTTTCTTACCTTTTCACACACCGGTCATTCTTGACGATGTGATTACGTCAAACATTTCCATTTTTTCCCAGGCCACGGGTAAACTAAAGGAAATTTTTTTAATAAAAATTTCTTGATCATAATTAATAAAAAAGAAAATTTCAAAACTCTGCAGTTAAATTAAAATGTTGAGAGAAATTAATCGATTGCCTCTATTGAAAGATAGTTATTTATCCATTTTTTTATGTTGTTCATTTCTATAAATAGCGTTATTTATTACTTTATATTAAGTTGTTTATTGTCCTATTGCTTTTTATTTATTCATTACTTTCAATTAATAATCAACTGATCTTTTCATTACTTTCAGGCATTTGTAATGGAAAGACAACAAACAAGTAATGAACAACAGCATATAAAAAATAATAATAATAATTAATGCTAGTATAATGACAACACTTAGAATAAAATCAACTGAAAATAATAGATAAATAGTAGGTAGTAAGGCAATGAGCAACAATATGTAGGAAAATGAACAATTTGTGTTAGCATAATAATAATATATGGAATGAAATTAATTAAAAGCAATGGATAAACAACAGATGATAGGGTAATGAACAACAATATTAGAGAAACGAACAACTCGTATTAACATGATGACAATACTTAGAATGAAACAACTAAAAGTTATTGAATTACTACTTGATACTGTTAAATCAACATTTAGAAATGAACAATTTAATATACAGTAACAAACAACATTATGTAGGGAAACAAACAACTCATATTAGCATGATCACAATACTTGAAATGCGATTAACTAGACAAACAACATGCACAAGAGCAATGAACAACTTAAACTTAATATATGGTAATAAACAACAAACAATAAAGAAACAAAAAGCTCATGTTTGCATTATTCGTGCATGTTTTGTGAAGAGGGTTAATTTTATCATTTTTTTAACTTTTTAGTTTCACTACAGTATCTCTAAATTGCATTGAAATTCCATAGTTTTTTAAGGTTATTATTATTATTTTTTTTTTGTTAAACTGTGTTCAAGGAATCTTTATTAAAATTTTTCTTAAATTTAAAATCACATCCATGCAGTGTTTTTCCCATAGTTATATAAATACTCGTAGCACTTGAAATGAAAAATTGACCAACAGTACAGCCATCATCGTCTTCAAAATTGAGCTCATTGATTTAGAATTTACATTAATCAAATGAAATATTTTCTTAAAAAAAAAAAATCTGCACTTGTGGTTTCTGACTGCTACCATACTTGCCGGTGGGATACTTGCGGAGTTAATGGCATTTTAATACAACCATTACCGAATTACGTGATTGAGCGAACGGACTATCGCAACTTCTTTTTTTCCCCCCTTTTTTCCCTCTCGGGTTTAAATTTCCCCCTCTTTTTATCCCCAAAAAAAAAAAAATTCTCCCTCTCTCCATAATCACTAGCTTGGCTGAGGCTCACTCCGATACTTCTTGCTCTTCGTAATCACGATTTACTAGCCTGCCTCCATCAGAAGTCAGATCTACTCCCTCCGTCTACAGTATCAGATAATTTTGATTTTTGATAGACTTGTTTTATTAATCCAAATTACTATTGTAGTCGGAAATAAAAATCTGTTGTCTCGTGTGTTAATTATATTATCCCCGTTACCTTACACCTTTCGTTGAATTGGGAGTAATAATTAGGAGGGGATAAATATAGGTAAAAATTCAAACAATAAATTGAACGCATTTATGAAAATTTTTTATAATTTGTACTAAGTCATTTAAGAAAGACAGCAACTTTTCATGTGATTGTGATGAAGTTATTTGTTTTTTTATAGTATTATTCAATATCAGATACGGTACACATCCAATGAAAAAAGTACTCTTTAGTTATCACGTAGGTCCAAGCTTATAAGATTTAAAGGGGTGGCTTAATTATAATATTTAGCATGCATGCTTTTATAAATATTCAACTATTATGTACAAGATAAACTCTGCCTTACTTGGAACTTTGAAGGCTATCCAGTTAAAGAGCGCAAGATGCAATCTATATTTATATCTTTCCAAAACAGCATCCTATTCAAACGTTAGTGAAAGAGAATTTGGATTGTAAGTATACGTACCATCCATATTTTTAAGACCGTGACATCAGCATGGCTATAATTTCGATTGACTTTATCTGCAATGTAAAAAAGATATATGCTTCATCCGAATTTAATCTCATTCTTTAATAAAATAATTATTTATTTTTTAATTAACTCTATTTTTTTATATTTATTTCTATTAAACACCCTATAATAAATACAATATTATTATCAATAGAAATACTTTTTTAAAAAAATGATTATACCTCAAGAGATTAAAAATGCGTTATATTTTTTAACATTCAACCCTTTAAAAAATATCTTACATTTTTTAATGAAGGGAGTATGAAAGAGAGAAAATTAGAGGAGAAAAAATTTTTTTATCTTTCTAATTTTGTGTAAATGAGAAAAAATATTTTTTTTACTTTTCTCTTATTCTTATTTTCTTCTAGTTTCAAATGGAAGGTCAGTGATCATATTATGAATGAGCGCAAATGAAGGGTAGATAGGGAACTCTATCGTTGAGAATGGAACATAGTCTGGCCCGGAAGAGTTAATTGGCAACACTCGATGGAATTCAACGGGGAAATGATAAGCATGCATTGATTTTATTTTGTTTTTGAATGAAAGAACATGAAAACATGGTTCTTTCCACGTAATGGTGAAACTTTTCAAAGAAATAATGACATGGATGAAGTGCGCGAAAAGCTCAGAGAGTAAAGAATTGAAAGAATCTTTGTTTTTGGCATCAATTTATTTTGTCAGTCACAAGTTTTCCAGCAGCAGGAGGGCCAGTAAAAGGGACCCTTCATCTCGTCGGGCAAGGGATTTTGCTAGTGTCTTTTAATTCCTACAATATTATTGTTGTTCGATTTCGCTCGGGGGGAGGGTTTATCGGGTAATTTAATTTAATCTGACTTGAGAGAATAGCCCTGCACCTTATACAAGATAACTTAGCTGGCAACTGGTCGAGACGGAAGGGGATAAAATCTTCAACGCCACTGCTTTGTTCGTTTCTGCTAACTGTCCCAAGCATCACACTTTCAGCCATGAATTACATTACAAGCATGGTTTCTTTTCAGATTATACGTGCGTATTCTCTTAATATTAATGCTTAGTAATATCAGCGCAGATGAAATGACCCACCATGCCTGCAAGAGACATCAGTTCTCTCTCACACCTTCGATTAGACTCATGTACACTGTTCACTAGCCCCCACTCCTCACCTTGCCAAAATAAACTCTCTTCGCTCTCCAATCCATGGGATGAGAGAGAGGAATGCGAGAAACCTTCTTGACTATCATGACTTGGCTCACATGAGGCCTGGCTCGTAAATTACTTCAATCCCCTGTTGCTGAGCAGCCCTTCATTTTCTAGACTTGACGTTCAAATCATCCGTCCCTCCCTTTCGCCCTCACATCCTTTCTTATTCTCCCACAGGGGTTCCTACCTGGACTGACTTCCATTTTTCCCACAATTCTTCGAATCTTTCCCAACCAAATATGGGGAGGCACTCTTGCTGCTACAAGCAGAAGCTTCGGAAGGGTCTATGGTCCCCCGAGGAGGATGAAAAACTTTTGAGACATATTACTAAGTATGGCCATGGCTGCTGGAGCTCTGTTCCTAAGCAAGCCGGTATATCATTCCAATTCGATTCCTACTTTTATATGCTCGTATCCCTCCAACCCTCCATCTCCGCTTTATCTCCTTCACAATTTTTTTTTAACACAAATTCATGGCGTCTTGTCAGGCCTGCAGAGGTGTGGTAAGAGCTGTAGGCTGAGGTGGATCAATTACCTGAGGCCTGATTTGAAGAGAGGAACATTCTCACAAGAAGAAGAAAGCCTTATAATTGAACTCCACGCAGTACTGGGAAATAGGTAACTCTCTTTCTCATCATAATTTTATCGTGAAGTGGATCGAGTCTTTATTTCTAATTCTGATTTGCTTTTCTCCTTCTTTTCCTGACTCGCCAGATGGTCTCAAATTGCGGCACAATTGCCCGGGAGAACTGACAATGAAATCAAGAATTTGTGGAATTCTAGTTTAAAGAAGAAACTGAGGCAAAGAGGCATCGACCCTGTTACCCACAAACCACTCTCTGAGGTTCAAAACGGAGACGACAGAGACAGAGAACTCAATGAATCGAAACTTCTCAAATCAGAGAGCCCCGATTCAGATGGCACAAAAGCCTACACGCCCGTCATGGAAGGCTGTGCCGGCTTCAAGTATAACAACAGCACGAGTGACACCAATTTGCTAACCAACTGTGGCAGCAAAGAATTGCTCCCGGACGGGTTTACGGCGAGCTACACCACTTCGGGCCTGATGGGGAATTTGAATTCCGCACTTCAGGTGAATTATGCATCCTCTGGTGATGCCTTCCCAGCCAATTCAAACCCTTCTCAGTGGTTCGCCCAAACAGGAGGACCAAGATTCAATATGAATTCTGAATTTGCTTCCAATTCCATGTCTACTGTTCTCGCGCCTCCACCCGCTTCATATCTCCCAACGGTTGGTGTTCCTTGCGATGGTATCGGTGCAGCCTCTTACACTACTGAGCATGCATCCCCGTCTCATTTCTGGGCACTGATGACAGATTCTGCAAAAGAGACCCAAATGCAAGTGCTGGAGAACCAGACAGGGGAAGCCAAGTGGGGTGATTACGTTCAATACCCGATCGTAATGCTGCCCGTGACTCATGTGGTATCTGATAATTTAGCAGCGATGTTGCCCCATAACAAACGGCAAGAAGAACCCTCGCAGACTTGTAATATGTTTTCCAAGGACATCCAGAAGCTCACGGCTGCCTTTGGACATATGTAGACACTGATGATTTTAATAGTGCAGGTGTGTGCAACAGATTTTGATCTTGTACATGCACAATTCTCTCGCCCCCGACCTCTTCTCAGGTGTGGGTACGATTGTAGAAACAACCATTCCTCTGCTCTGTCTGCAATTGCATTACAGTGGTGCTTTTCTTTTATGTTCATTCATGTCATTTCCTTTTTTTTTTCCTTTTAAAATATATATATATATATTTTCAATGCCAAAGTCATACACGTAAAATGTAATCCGAATGTATTTCAGTCGTTCCCTTCTATTCTCTTCCCACCTCCACTTTCCTGACACTACTCGAAAACAATACTGAAATGAAATTTTATGTAGCCAGCACTTTATCTAATCAACGAGTCCGTTGTGTCGTCCATCATGATCTCGACAGACGAATAGTTTATTTACTTTCACGTCAATGGAAGCCCAAAATTTACATGCTAAACGAAGCAAGTACATCTGAGTCGGCACTCGGCACCCGCCCATCGTAAAAGAATATAGCAAGAAAGAACCGTTTTTAATGCCTCAATTACTTCTTACCACACATAAATTTCAAAGCCAATTCCTTCATAGATATAGGTACAGTGCCTGTTTAGATTTTAGTGTACATCTGGTAAAAATATATTTGAAAAATTTAACTATTTATTTGATTTGGTAAAAGTATATTCTAAATACGATTTAGAAGTTTTTGTTGAAGTTACCCAAACAAGCTCATAATCAAATGGCCAGGGATAATCTGAACATTTGACGGCACATTGGTTTACTTGAACATGAAGTCTTGTGTGCCTGGGAAGCACCATTAACGAAGCAAAGGAGCGGGCATTGACGATGAGTGATGCGGAGCAGTCACTGGTTTGCGGTCCGTATTCCGTACGGAGAGACAAAGACTGGCTAGCTAACAAGGGCCATGTGTACGCTTCCCTGTCATGTAGCTTCTTAATCAGCATCCTATCCAATGCATTTCAAGCAAGAAACTTCCAATTCCGAGAGCAAACAAGTGAGCGAGTAAATTGCACCGTGGTGATTTCATTAGCTGCTTTATCACTACCAAATCCACGCCACGCACGTGGCACAATCTAGCACCACTCTCCATCGTTCGCGATGCCAGCCAGTTCACCAGCCTTCTGTTTTAAGCATTGAAAAGTTTACCAACATGTGGGTGTGAAGCTGTCACTCACTTCTACGTTGATAATTATCCTCATTTCCTTGATTATTTTTGCCCCCAAAAATAAGTTTGCTAATTCGATTTTCCTTCCAAGCTTTCTGAAAGTATTAATCTCAAGTGGAGTGGTGATTGGAGAAGAGAATTGATGTAAGTTAATCCCTATGCACTGTAGTCAGCAACTCAATACCGGACAATCTGTCAAGTTAGAGTGCCCTGATAGAGGAGCACTGAAAATATTTAAATGAATCACTCTTTACCGACAACGGAAGAATCAAAATTAAATGCATTGATTCAATCAAGAATGAATAAAGCATTTTCTCTTTATTTTTATTTTGCAAGAGAAGAATCAATAAAGCCAATTGAATCGTCATGTTGAATCAACGAAACAAATGAAATCTTCGCTATGGAAAGCATGAGAATTCCTGCAGTTGATAGGTGCCGGTGAGCTGGAACGTATGGGAGTGAAGCTTGTAAACAATAAACATCCGCATGACGCATTGCTTAGTGGGCATTGTATTTTAACCAAGTTAAGTGGCCCAACGGCCCATCTGACTTGTTCTCGGACCCAAGTGTACAGGAGATAGGGCCAGACTTTGAAAGTCCAGGTCTTACAATTTTCAGAATCGCGGCTGAAGAAAACGTTAGTTGGGTCAGGTGAACCCTGTGGCTTGGTGGTGAAGGCGCTTTGCTTTCACAATTCAAGCCGCGAGTTCGAACCCAGGCACTCTCAATCCCATACACACGAAAAACGTTAGTTGGGTTCATGAAAAGGGACGTGACCTCTATATAAAATTATTCCCGCCGATCAATAATAATATTCCCGCCGCAATTGTACTGTGTCCTTGAGACAAGAAAATCCAGTTGACCAAACACTGCTCGTCTAGTTTAAAATATTTTTTAATGTTTCGTATAGGCATTGCCATGTTGCGAAATTGGTTTGAATCTTGGGATAGTAAAAAAAAAAAAAAATATCGGGGACGGATTGGAATTTTCCTCCAAAAAACGTGGACACGACGAGGGCGCTTGACAATGCCATTCCCCGTGATCCCTACCGACGATTTGTTTTACATTTCTTAGGATGACGTTCATAAATCTGATGGCTTGCACTTTCCATCACCGTCCTAAGTAAGAGTTGAAAACCTTAAAACTCGATTTCTTAGTGGCGGGTGGGCATTAATCCTCATCCGCCGGTCATTGTAAATAATTATCTTAGTCAACTCAGAGTAATTTAATATTCCCTTCGTTAAAACTTATCGAACCGATTCAATAGCGTGCAAAAGCAAATTTCAGGAAGCCGATGATAATTAGCACAAATTGTCAAATAAAAAATGAAAATGAAAACATATTCTCAAACAAGACTTCTAATATCATTATCATCAACCTCAGGAATTAAATTTTTTTACTGTGCAAAAAGTCTTGCCTCTGCAAATTGGCTGCTCTAAAGACCACCTTCTTATCCGTATAAAAATATTTGTATTGCATGCACATTTTGTGTAGATTAACATATACTTTTAGTCCTCTAATTTTATATAAAATTTTAATTTAATTATTTAATTTTATAAAATATTTTTTTAATTCTTTAACTCTAATATTATTAGTTTTAAATAATTATTTTTGTATCAATTATTATTATTTTAAAAAAATAAACTTAATATGTCAATATTTAAAAATATTTTGTTAATATTTAAAAATTCAAGGTAAAATTTTTTTAGGATAAACTAACAGTATTAGAGTTAAATGATTAAAATAAAATATTGTGTAAAGTTAAATGATTAAATAAATACTTTAGCCTGCTGTGCAATATTCCCTTCTTGCCATGTTGATATTGTTTGTCATTTTTAATTTGTTGTGTATTGGATGCAAATATCAACAATGATTACTCACATGTATCATTTTATTAGAACTAATCCTATTCAAAATATGATGGAATATTAAATATAAATATATCCTTTAATAAAAATTAAACCTTTATTATCATGTTATAAGAAATTAATCTATTTTATTAAACTCAATCATTTTGATATGGATGTTGGTTTTTGTACAAGGGAGAAGAAATGTCTGGTTTTGAGAAGATAATTTTATTATGGACGTGAAATAAGGACAGGTTCAAATTGGGAATGGGTGGGCTTTATTTCTAGGATCGGCATCATCACATAGCAGCACGCCTTTCGCAATACAAAACTCACAGTGAGTCAGACCCATCACGCCCTCACTGTCCTCCATCGATGTGACCCCCTGTTGATGAGCATTCGATAGGTTTAGTCAGTTCAGCTTTAATTTCTCTAAAATGGATTAATTACACCAAAAATTTGAATCAAATTAAAATGAAATACTTAATTAAATTAAATTATAATGATCTAATTCAATCAATTTATTTATTTTATGAACTTTAATTTAGATCTATAAAGTGTAAATATTTATATATTTTTCTATTCATTTTTCCTTTAATGTTAAAGGCTCAACAAAAAATAGCAACCTTATATCATAATTTATGATAAAATTAATAAAACTCAGTACTATTACATTAAAAACTAACTTATAGAAATAAAAACAAGAACATTACATTAAGTAAAAAAATACTACTAGCGCAAAAAGTAAAAAGATATTTCTTACTCATTTAGATGAGAATTGACTTTTCAAATATATCAAAAGAAAAATATATATAATTTGGTCGATTCTTTTTATTTGGTTCAAGAATTTTCATGCCATATTGAATTGATATATCAAAATTTTTATGAAAAGAATAATGAAGCAAACCATATAACTGAATAGACTGAATTAAATAAATTAAATTAAATTTAATTCAATTTAATCTTCAATTGCAATTTGATTTCACTTATCCTTAACTCCAATTCCTCCTCTCATTAATTCACGTACACCTTGGCTTGCTTCAGTGCTTATCAAGTGATAAGCACCACCGTACTTATTTTATAAAATTTATTTTTAAATTTTGTTTTATATTTATTATAAAAAATTATAAAGTTTTTATAAATTTACTTTATAATTAATCTAGACAATACAGATCTAATTTAGATAGTTTAATTTAATATTAATTTTTTTAAAAAATTATAAATTAACTATCTAGATGTACTATGGATAGCCTGAATCCAAAATATATATAGTCAATTTATAATTATTTTTTTTAAATAATATTAAATTAAATCACCTAGATTAAATATGTATTGTTTAGATTGATGACAAAATAAATTTATTAAAATTTTATATTTTATAATTTAATAAATATATGTTAAAATATAAAAAAATTAATAAATTTGGACCCTCCAAATTTTTCATCACGTAATGAGCACCAAAACAAAATGCCCGGACTTCATTACATCCTTAATCTTAACTCATCCAACCCCCCCCCCTTTTGATTTAGACTTGGCACAAGTCAAGGCTTAAATGTTTGTTAATTTAATAGCAAATACAAAAATCTAGAAGGCCAGAAATGGGTGACTAAAAATGATTAAAATACTTAGTGACGGATAAAAAAAAATCAATAGAAGCATAATTTAATACTTAAAATAAATATTTATATTTTTCATAAAAAATATTCTAGATGTATATAATCATATTAATTAGGGTAAAAGTATTTTTTTTGTTCCTACAGTATTTTAAAAAAGCACTTAACACCCTAATATTTTTTTGCAGCAATTTTACTCTTGAAGTTATTAAAGGGGAATATTCTTGCCATTTTCATCAAATTTTTATTTTAATAATTTTAAAGGTAAAAATGCTCTAATAAAAGAGTTAGAGTACTAAGTGTTATTTAAAAAATACTTTAGAGACAAAAATTTACCGTTGCTCTATTTACTATATAAGTTAATAAAATTAAATATTAAATACAATGCATAAATATAGTATTATAATAACAACAAAGACTCTCTCTGTATATATATATATATATATATATTAGAATAATGTTTTGTAATTTTCATTAAATAAAATCCACAATCCCTCTCTTAAAAAAGTAACAAGTTTTTAACTGA